TTTCTTTGTATCTTCCTTTCTTTCTTTCTTTCCGTGTACTGCTGTTATCGACCCAGCGCCATCTTTTACTGCTAATTAGAAGAAACAAAGGCAAGGGAGATAAGCCATAAATGAATAAGACAGCAAGTCTTTGGGATTTGATTTTGTTTGCCACTGGTGAGCGCCGTAGGATGGTCAGCACCTGCCGACCATCGATCAGCTTCCTCGGCAATTGATTTGAATGGTTGCTTGTCATTAAAAACGAGACAGTGTCTGCAAGATGTGTGGCCGAGAGCACGGAAAGTAGATATTACGAATTCAATAAAATCTCGGTTAAAAAGAATTCTGGGAAATGTTTTAGGAGAGGTCGGAAAGTACGACGCGCTGAAATCCGAAGGCGCATATGGAATACTGAAGATGACTTTAAAGCTAAAGGGAATATCATGAAATATTCGTTAGAAACAAACAAAAGAGAACTACTAAACTCTATCAGTCATCCTGGACAATCTTCTCAAAACTTAAGAGATTGCAAGAGAAATGTGATTCTAAAAAAGTCTGCTGAATATCCCAAAAATCATACGAATAGATGTCAACCTAACAAGCTATAAGATAAAAGTTTTAGTGGAAAAAAAAATTACTAAATATAAAATGGATTACTCTTTCAATGTCCTGTCTATGGATTTTTCCAATCGACTGTTTCATAGAAAACACCCAAAACTCCACCGAATTTCAAATTAATTTCTTCGTAGATTGTTTTAACATTTAGATATTTATCAAACCTTAACCTCCCAAATATGCACGTTAAAGTAACGCGAACTGACAGCGTCTAAGAATTTGAATGAAACCTGTCGTGTAATTTATTGAGGTTGTTGTAACGTCTTCCTTTAATGTCGTTCTTATCATTCACCCCTTAGCCACCTTTATCTAGAGACGAGACGCGTTAAAATTGAGCAACATCTATCCGACACACTGGGGTTAAAATAGGAAACTAAAATGATACATATGACACACTCATATCCTCTCTCCCACCTCACTTCGTTAACTTTGCGTATACTTGATGAGGTCCGTAAAAACGTGTGAATTTCTTTTCATTTTTCATTTCAGCTTTTGGAAGTAAAGTCTGATGATCCAGAACCCTGTTAAAGGGGTTATGGTGAAATAGCTTATTACATGGAATCTTAACGTGGTCTGTTTTTATTCAAATATATATATATATATATATATATATATATATATATATATATATATATATATATATTATATTTTTGTATAGTAAAAATCACTGAATATATATAGATGGCATATATATATATATATATATATATATATATAAGTATATATATATATTTATTTATATTGAACTTTTTTTTTTAGTATAATTTAACCTGGTGTACGATAAAAAAAAAGGTACGAACAATAAAATCATGAAAATCTCTTGCAGCTCCCGTTCATAAGAATTTCAAGAAATCGCTCTTTTTCAAGACAGGATTAACATCAGAATTTATGTCATCAAAATGTATATATCCACCATCTTGCCTTGATGGATGTGCCTTGTATTCCCTTATTTAAATTTCATCACATGATCAGTATATTGAGTTCCGTATATTTGTACCCCGGCGTCATTTTGTCAAGGTTCTGGTCTCTAATAATAATAATAATAATAATAATAATGTATAGCTGCCCACTCGTATTTGAGGATACTCATCTACTAGAAGGGCTATCCAATCCCTATTATAGACGCTTGTTCAGGCGCATTTGTGTTTATTCAACACGCACAGAGACTATCTGTGGTTTATACTGCAACTATGCTGAGCAGACCTTAGTTATAGTTTCTGAGAAAAAGCCTGTTATCTAGCTTTGTCAAGAATTTGAATAAGGTCAGCATGCTCAATACTTCTTCTAGTTATGGGTTAAATAACAGAACAGGCTGGCATTTAAATTTTAAAATTTTGAAAATTGGCTATTGAATTAGACAACGCATCATCCAAAAGTTTATAAATATGGATTATGGAGGATAATATAGAAAAAATTTATTCATTTTCTGCACAATTCTTTTCTCACATAAAATTCACTTATGCATACGGTGTTTTTTATGTATACGATTTTCAATACTTTTTTGGCAAATGTTTTAGACCTTTTACTCGAGCCATTGTAACTATTTCTTTTATAAATAGCGCACGGATGTAATAGTAAGAAAATGATAAATTTTGTTATTGTATATATAGTTTTTTTTTTTGGCCCTATTCTATATCTACTAAATTTTTTTCATTCTCTGTTAGTGTCAGTAACCACTGGCGTCTTAGTGGTATTACCCTTCCTTGGGGTGAAATGATTAATAGATATTTTATATATAAAATAAAATAAAAGTTAGAAATGTTTCATTTCACCATTTGTTTTTATTCTATATCAGATGTATTAAGCAATCTGGTTCACGCACACACACACACACACACACACACACACACACACACATATATATATATATATATATATATATATATATATATATATTTATATATATAATATATATTTTTTGGTTTTAAATTTGTTTCAAAAAAAATTACCACCACTAGGACGCAAGGAGTTTTAGAATTTTGGAGCAAGATCAGATAACAGTGATATATAAAAGGATGAGGAGAAGGATGGTGGATTTAATCAAGGCAACTGAGATGTCGATTGACATTATATTTGAATAGTTGGAATATAGCTATATAATAAATAAACTGGAATATAGGAGTTCCACAAATTTATTTATAAAGAATATATATATTGGAGTAGAAGAGATATATAAATTTAGGAGTTTCGACAGTTTAAAGGGCTTTGAGCGGGATGCCATTTTTTTCGTTTTCCAAATTCTTAAAAACAAAGAAGCACCAAATCCACAGAATTTTTATGGGATGAACAGAAGAGGGAAATGAAGAAAAAAAATGGAAAGAGATCTTAAAGTCATTGAAAAAGAATTGAATCACTTATCAAACTTATACTTTGAGCAACGAATGCCCAAAAATTGTGCTTATCTAATCAAAGGTAAAGGCTGATATTTTGACATATAAACATTATTTAATCATAATCATTCTTTCTTTTTAATCCATTTTTATTTTATGTTTATTTAAAAAATTTTTTAAATAAAAATAATTTCCATTTTTTTAAACCATCTATAAAAATTTCCTCTTATTTAAAGTAGGAAATTCTAACATTTGAGGCCAATATATAAAAACATACAATTAAATTAATAAATAATATATATATTTATATATATATATATATATATATATATATATATATATATATATATATAATATAAATAAACGATTTTTTTTTAAATAAAAATTTAGCGATGAAAATTTATTAAAACAATTATTCTTGAATAAAAAAAAAATTCAAATAAAAAGATAATTAAATTAAAATATATTTTCCTATGCAAGTTTTGATCCTTGAAGAAAAACTTTTTGTAGAATGATTTTCAATTTATTTGATTTTAAGAAATATTTAAATAAAATTCTCACTTAAAAATTTTGAAAAAAATTTAGCGTTGCGTCTTTGCACGTTCCGATATCTTACAACCGTCAATAATAGCAGATATTCAAAAAAACATCTTTCGGTCGACATACAGGTATATCGTCTCAAGTTTTTGATTTTATAAGGAAAAAAAAAAACATGCCTGATGATGGATGGAAGACTGTCCGTAAGTACTAGCATTTTAACATCAAATAAACTGAAAAAAATACAGACAACAAGTTTTTCTTCAAGGATCAAAACTCGCACTATGGATGAACAGGATTTTAATGCATATATTATGTTTTCTAGCGATGGATGTCGCCAATAATCGCATTAATACTTCTGATTAATTCTATGTGTGATTATTCTTTGTATGTAAATATATATATATATATATATATATATATATATATATATATATATATATATATATATATATATATATATATATATATATATATATCATATAATTATATTTATAATATTTATATATATTCTCAAATGTGTATATGTGCATATTTTTGAATATTTCTGCATGTTTGTGTGTCTATTCAATTAAATTATTTGTTCGTATTTATAAGATTATAAATAGGTGCATTTTATTATATCATAAAAGCAAAAACTTTTTTACTTTCTGGTAAAAAAATTAATCTATTTTTTTTTTATTTAATTTTAAACAACCTTTTTATTTCAAATTAAAAATTTAAGAAAATATAATTTTATTTATTTTTTTAATATTTTAATAATGATTACGTTTAAAACCCAAACAAAAAAAAAAAAAATTTTTTTTAAAACAATGAAAAATTTCAAAAACATTTTTTATACATTATATTTTTATATTATGGATTTCATTAATTTTTTTTTTCAGTAAATTTATATATATATTTATTAAATTTTCCATTCATATTTTTGATTTGAAGATTTTTTTTTTTTTTTTATTTTTAATTCTGATTTAATTATTTTTTTTTTTTTTCCAAACTTATTGTTTGAACAGTATTTTAATAAATTCTCTTTTAAAAATTTTTTTTTTTTTTATTATTATTATTTCTAAATTTTATTAATTGGAATAATTTCTTTTTAACTTCTTGAAATCTTTTTTTATTATTAAATTATTATTAAAATTATTATTATTATTTAAAATTTTTGATTTTTTATTAAAATTAAAATTATTATTATTATTATTTTTATTATCCTTTTTTATTATTATTTTTCTTCTTCTAAAATTATTTTATTATTATTATTATTATTAAATTTTATTTATTATTTTTTTTTTTCTGATTATTGTTTATTTATTTTTTTTTTTTAATTTTTTTATTCAAAATAATTTTATTATTTTTTTTTATTTAATTCAACAAAATATTTTATTTATTTTTTAATTTTAATTTCATAAATAAAAATAAATATTATTTTTATTTTTATTTTTTTAATATTATTTTATTTTTTTTATTATACTCATTGAAAAATTAAAATTATTATTTTATTATTTTTTTTTTTTATTATTAATATTAAAAATAATTTTTTCA